GAGGGTTACCATTGCTTTGAGCTTGTCTTTTGGAGCCCTTGGGATTCAGGAGCATTGCAGCATGAGATGCCATGATATTTCGATTATGGTCAAGAGACCTGGGATAAGGTTTGGTCAGATTCAAGGTTGCGTGGTGTTGTGAAAGCAAAGTGATGAAAGCCAGTGGATTGTAGAGGCGACGGAGCTGGCTGTTAGTTTCACTTGCTGTGAATAGAAGTAGAGGACTGGGTTCCTTCCGACTAGCAAGTATTATGTCCAAGCTCAAATTTGAGAAGTATTCGCCGTGTCAGGTGGCTTGAGATGAGAGAGACGATTGCGGCTTGGGATTAATTCTCCACCTGACTTGTCAAACGTTCTTGCCTGGGAGGGCAGATCAATCAAGTTCAAGTTTTGGAGACTTCTTGTCACGTATCAAATATTAACGTCGCAGCGAAATGATTACACAAATGGTGTGGTTAACGAAAGGTGCGTCTTCCAGACGCGAGAGTCGCAAAATCTCCGGCGTCATTGAAAGTGAGAGATACAGAAGAGAAGCGCGGGCAACACGAGTTGCGCTATTATCCCGGTCATCAACGTATATTATCCCGGGGAATCACGTCGTATTCGTGGTCGCAATCCAGTCGGCGCCTTGTCGTTTGCCTCGTCGAGGGAATCGCGAGTAGGTTCGTGGGCAGCTGTGTCGAGGGTCCTTGACCTCGAGTATTCCGCGGGGCTTTCGGTTCGTGCGACTTTTTTGCTCGAGTCAGTCGTAAGCTCAGTCGTATCGTTAGAGACTCGAAATGACGAAGTGGTTCTTCTGAAGTCGGTGCCTCGGAGAAACCCGCCGATAAGATCTTATCAGTCTGCGCGCTTACGGTATTAGCGTGAAGGAACGCAAGTACTTAAATGAACTTATATCGACTTGGAGAAAAGCTGGAAAGTTGAGTCTAAGAATAACTTTTGAAAATACAAGAGACCAAAAAGTGTATGCTTCTACACGCGTGACAGATATATATTCCGAGGTCCCGCTATGATTAGTTGGCCCCCCTCATTTCCAAGGTTTTTATAGATCGTGGAGATTATCAGATCTTAAGGCCTAGGTAATCCTTTTTGGAATATCATTTCTCCTTCTATAACGTTTTACTTAAAGATATATGCTACCTAAACAGGCGGATGTCACGTTTATGGATTGCTAATGCGTTTGAGCTTAGCCTAGGCGTGTTTGCGATGGCTGAGATGATGGTCTCAAAAACAATGTCATGCAAGTAGTTGACGGACTCTTACTATTGCATCAAATCTGGACTTGATTTTCAACTATGAGATTGTGCTGACATGGAGCACTAGAAGCTAAGAACTGGTTATTCCTACGCCAGCCTTAGGATCTATATCGCGTGACATACTGTAGGGTCACATGTCGCTACTGATCAGCTTAATCAACATAGTTGATCCAGAAAAATAGATGATGAAGGTATCATAGAATTAAGTCTCGTCAATATGCTACATGAGGCAGATCGCCCAATCAATGCGCCACAGCCCAAGGCAACCCCAACAGCCAGAGAATGTCTATATACAACACGGAAATCTCCCAAATCATGAGCATGTCCAACAAAGGACTCGTGTGAAATGTCAGAAAAAAAAGAGGCACAAGTCGAAATCTCGACAGGAATTGGGAACCGTTTTTGTTGGGAACCCAACAAATACTCCGAGAAGACAACGCTGCAGAAGATAGCTGCAAATTAAATGAGAAAGTAATGCAAGAATGTAGAAAAGTAAAAAGGGCAGTACGACACAATCTAACCTTAGCACCAAGTGAACACAGGATTTTTACTCTTGACGGCTTCCAGGCGCTCGACAATCACCTTGCGCTGGTTGCCTTCCATGCCCTCTGCAACTGCATAACCAAGATCACCTTCGAGATCATCGTTGCCAAATGTGTTGACATGAGGAACGCGTAAGGACATGGAACCACCGTTTTTGCGATGCCTGTGCTGGCGGGGAGGAAGTGAGGACCATCCATCTAGAGAACCCCCGGTGTTTCGACCGCCGAAGTCATTCATAGTCGCAGGGCTACCGACAGAACCATCAGCATGTTCGCTGCCAGCGTCAGGTCGACCACGGGTGAGTTCGAACCGGTTTGGGTTGGGGAGGTCGCTTGGCGACGAGTTCAATCCCAATAAGTCGTGTTCAGGGATTGGTTGGGAAGATGCGGATGCACCAATATCCATCTCTTCTTCATCAGGGTCATAATTCATAGATCGGTTTCTTTGTCTGTCTGTGGAGGGCGCGCGCATTGGAATAGCAACGGGGACATCAACTAAGTCATCCCATACACAGACTCGGGTCCGTCGAGTCAGCTCAAGCGGGCCGTGGTCCGGTTGCTTCAATGTTTCCACCACATTCCAAGCTTGACCTTTCATGACAGCGATTTGTCGAGCGAACATGCTCTCTTTGAAATCATCATCTTGCGCAAAGACACCACGCAAAGCCATCTGTGTACCGCTCCACCAGTCTGTGGAGGTCAGTAGTGGAAGGAAATGGTCGCGGGTTTTCTGTGAGAAGGGTTGTCCGATCAAAGAAACTGGCAGGAAAAGCCAACCGAAGGGGAAACTACGCCACTACAAAATGTTAGTGCTGGGAATTTGTAATTGCCCGTGAATGCGAGAACTTACAGCGTCTGGGTGTTTCCATGGCCAGGACAGACTGTTATCAATAGCACCAAGCTGGACAGAAGCTGACTGTTCCGATGAGGCCAGTGGGGTTCCCGTGCGGCTTATAGCCATCATCGTTTCATGCCGCTTATAGGGGTGGAAAGAGGGATCGGTGGTGCCATTCACGGAAACAGGACGAGGCGGGGGCATAAGCTCATCATCATCGTGCTTCGGTTGTGGCTCAGCGTGTTTTGGGGGCTCTGCCACGATAGAAACCTGTTCTGTCCCCCAGTCGATCTTGACCATCCAGTTGTCCAGACCTCGATCGGTATTTCGCATGATATAATCCAAAATCACAAGTTTCTCCAACTCTTCACGGAAGGATTGCTTGAGATTCTCAGTCCAGTAAAATTGGCGCTCGGCACTTCCGTCAGGCGAACCGGCTGGCGAAGGCACATAGCCCGGATCTTCATCATCCTCGTCGTCTGACTGTGCCCCTGATGGACGACACGCCTCGTTCCACGGCCGCTTCTTGCGCTTCGGGGCGTCCTCGGTGCGGAATCCAGTATTGACCTGGTCAGGCCAGGGATGCTCTCGGAGGAAAATGTTGGCGTCTTTAAATCCCTTTAGGAAAACTTGAAAACTGCCAGCCTTGGGAGGCAGGACTTTCTTGCCTTTCCGTGCCTTTCTCCGGTCCCAGAAATCGTAAAAAAATGATCTCGACGACAGCCGAACAATACCGGTGTATGGGACGAGGTTCGTGCGCAGGCGGGCATCGAGAACGTATGCGGCTGCTTCGGAGACGTAGGAGAGATTAGGAATGAGACATGCGCGGCCGAAAAAGCAGGGGAACAAGTTGCGGTGAAGCCATTTTGTCCATTTGGGATTCCGTGAGGCGTACGGCTCTTCGTCTTTTGGCTTGAACACACCCACTACTTTCCCTTCGGGGTTTCGAGCAAAGTAGCTGCCCGAGCTTCCTTGTGAGATCATACGAGGATGTACGTCCATTTCAATCGCGAGACGCACACTTTCGATAATCTCCTCGTACTCGGCGTGGGCCTGCCGTTGCTGAGCCTCAAACTCATCTGACTCGAGAACCTCAGCGCTCACGGGGGTAACTCCGGGAGGTGCCTGGAAGACTGAATGGTAAATCTCCAGCTTCTCTTCCTCATAGCTTTTGCCCTTGACACGATTGATCTTGAACTTGGAGGCAATCTCGTCCGCCCATTTTTCGAGACGCGCGTTGATGGCCTTGATATCGACCCCGGAGTTCCGACGACCTCGAGCATATTGAAAACCACTGTGTCTGCGTCGATGACCTGGAGGAGTGTGGAGACCGGACGCCTGCATCTGGGCTCGGGAGGAGATGGGTGCGTATCGGGGGGCGGAGGTGGACACTGTTGAGATTGCGCCGACGTCGTCGTCTTCTGAGTCATCGTGAAGGTAGCCTCGTTCCTCATCGGCCTGGGCGAGCCGGGCGTATCCCGAGGTGGCAGGACGAGTCTTCGGCATTGTGATTGAGGGTGGTTGGATCTATGGAAGCCGAAAAAGGGCAAAATAGCTCGTAAGAAAGAGAGAGCAAGGCCAGCAAAAGAACGAAAGGACACGAAAAGAGGCTAATCCATCACAGAGAATAGAAGAGAAGGAAAAGACCGCTGGTTAGAATAGAGAGTTGATAGAGTCAAGACAGTTGAAATAAGTGTCACCTATGTCCAGACGCCAAGGGGCCGTCCTGAAAGCATGGTTTACAGTTAATTTACACAGGCGGTGGCGTTATGAGTGGCAGAATGCAGTAAACTGTAGTAAATTTCGTGACGTGGGCAGGTCCACCCTGTATATAACGGTTATACAATTACGCACCGCCACACTCTGTCTCCACCCCCTAATCGAAAGGGGGTCTGGATGAATGCATCCAGTGTTATGTGTTAACAGCCCTGAAACTTGGCCAGAACCGCAATTGATCTCCATATGGGGACCCCTCTATGACGGATTGGGATATTCAGGGGATAGTCCATCAATTGCTATATGCTGTATTGGTAAAGCCGCCACGCTGGCGAATGTCCCGGTGCAGGAAATTTTATACGCATAAAACCCGTCTAGGAATTGATCACCCGTAAGCAAATACTCACATGCGGGACTGTCGCGCTACCTAGCGATATCAAGAGACTGGCATAGAACGAAGATGTAGCAGGAGGTTAATTGAATTACATTCTTTGCGAGACAAAACATTCAACGTTGACGCCCCTGACATGCCGTATTAAATAATAGTTGATACTGGGGCAATCGTTATCCCGATTGTTATTATCGCGTCTTATCGTCCATCTCAATTCTGAATCTTCTTTCAACCCCTACCCTCACTTATCCTCGGCCATCATGTCGTTAATTTAAAAATTCATTCTTTTCTTCGGTCTTATTAACTTTCTCGGGCACAATAATTGTCGGGAACCCTAATCCTTTCTTTTCGGTATCGAGAATCATTGGAACTTTACGAATCGACCACTGAGGAATTGTCTTGATATAGACCCATTGGCTCTGAGTCCTACTCCGAGTCCGTTGTTTCCAATCGCGCGATTCGCTTGACACCAACCGTTTCCCTTCAATTCGGTTTAGGGCCGGATTTCAATCGACACCTACTTCTCCCTCCACTGTGGCTTCCACCCTCTATCGGGCGTCGCCCATCGACCCGGCTCTTAAATCTCGTTCTTCGCAGGAGCGCGAGTTCCCTTACGACTTGTCCGCCGATAATTCATCCGCTCGTCACGCGTCCAACGGATCCATACCGTTTTCTACGACACTACCGGATATCAAGAGCGTGACCAAATTCGGCTCAGGCGAAATCGACGGATACCCAGGTTCTTCTGTTAGCACCTCGCTTCCAGGACTAGCAGCTCTGGCCTCGGTCGCTTCAGCACCAACCTCTAATCTTCGGTTCGTTGATACCCCATGCCAGTCCTAAATGGAAACCACCCGTGGACCTTTGGATATATCTTTGCGTAATCTTCAATCGGGGCCTGGAGAGCAGTAATCTGGCCCCTCATAAGAATTCGAATCAATTGGCTAATCCATATATTTTCCCCCACTTTTTTCAGATCATCCAGTGATGCAAGTATGAATATGGCAAATATGACCTATGCTACATCATCACCGGCAGCTACGACAGGAGGACAAGGGAGTGGACCTGTAAGTGTGAAACATGCCTTATATCAAGAAACTGTTATCGGAGCGCTGGAGGTCTTATCTCTGGGGAGTTATCGAAAGTCTTGGCGCTACTCGATCCGTGCACCCGCTTTTTCCCTTTCCTTATCGACTCAAATCTCTCACAATCTTATCATCCTCTTCCTCTTCCTAACTTCTATACCCTCATAATGGCGACCACATTGACTGACGACAAGCGACCTCAATTACAGCCCGTTTGCCAAAATTGCGGCACCTCTACCACCCCTCTGTGGCGTAGGGACGAACTCGGCTCAGTCCTCTGCAACGCATGCGGACTCTTCTTGAAACTGCATGGCCGACCTCGTCCGATAAGCTTGAAAACAGATGTGATTAAAAGTCGCAATCGCGTCAAGACCGGTCAAGGTCCTAAGCGCAAGGTGAGCTCGCGATCAAAAAAATTTTCCTCCTAGTCCCCTGCCTCCCAACTCCCCATGTATCTTAGATAAGAACATGCGCTAATCGAGATTGTGATTCCGTAGTCTGGCGGCCCTGTTGATACCAATGGAATCCCACCACGATCTGAAGCGGGCACCCCTCCCCTCGGCTCGCATGGATACCGTCGCGCGTCGCGCAAGATGTCATCGGGCCATTCGGATCGCTCCAACTCCCCCGTTTCCCGGACCGAGACACCTGGCTTTGGCTCGATGCACGCGCACAACTCAAATATCGCGCCGCAGCACATGTTCGACAGCGTTACCCTGGGCGACAGCATGAACTCCTCCAGCGGTCTTCCCTCCCGCCAGATGCGCCAACCCTCTCCCTCGGCAGTCGACCGCCAACTCGATTCCCCCCACACATTCGAAAGCCTCCTGGCCCTCAACACATCCCTGAAGACACGCGTCAGTGAACTCGAATTCGTCAACGAGCTCTTCCGCGGTCGCGTCACCGAACTCGAACAGAGTGATGCCAGCGCGCGTCGGTCGGAGATGATTGTACGAGACTCCGAGGTTCGTCTGAGACGGTCTCTTGAGGACGCTCAGCGCCGCGAGGAGGATCTCAAGCGTCGTGTTAACGATCTCGAGCGCCAGCTTGGTTCTAGCAGCGCTGGTGATGCCGAGTCCGGCGAGCCGCTCGCAAAAAAGATCCGGCTTTCGGATGTTGTGGAATCTGGCGAGGATGTGCTGGTCAAATCTCCCAAGAGCGTTTAAGTCTTGCGGTACTCTGCTATTCCCGGCCCCTTTTCACCTGCTTATTCATTCCATCATCGGTCCACACGTAGTACAAGCTTATAAGCTGCATTACGCTTGCTGGTCTCCAACCTCTGATATTCTTGATACCCTTCATGGCTCCTTCGTCATCACTGGCTGGAAATTTACCCAAAAAAAGCTCTATTGAATGGTCTCAATTTCTCTTCTTTTCTTATGTCTGGATGTTTCCCCAAACGTCTTGTTTTAATTTGCTTTCCTTGTGGTGTGCTGTACGAACTCTTTCCACTATGCTTCTAATAAAATACTTTATCCCCATCCTTCCTTCTTCCAGAACTCAAGGATCCGGAAGATCGATGGATCGGTGATCTAACTGGGAAGTATCTTGTCGTTTGGGTGTTTTTCCTGGGTTGTTCCTCTCAATGTGCTAGTTGGTGCTTTGATAGAGCAATGCAACTGATTTTGATTGTTTAACCCAGCTTGGCGGGTCTACGGGCCGGGTTGTCTGATTTGATTTGAACGAACGTTTTCGCTTTCTGTGTTGTGATATCTACATGTATGTTAGGAGGGAAATGAAAGTGTCATGCAAAGTCTTCGCGTACCAATCTTAAGAGTTCGTTCGTCTACAGCATGAATGCGGAATGGAAGACTAAATGATGCACATCCAATACTTATATCAAGACCGAGGCTAATAGTTACTTGAATAAGTTGACCAATACCAAATCTCCAATGTACAGTAATGAAATTGACCAAGTCATGGCCCATGGGATGGTAGGATAATCCAAACAAAAACAAACGCAAAGCATCAAGTCCAGAGAAAACAGTGTATGGGTATACCAAATGAGCACACCAGCCAAATAACATCCATCATGAATTGTACTCTATGAAAGTGATAACAGATCGCGAAACTTGGAAGGATCTAGGCAAATGTGTAAGCAAGCAGGCAATTCGTCAGCCCCTACTTGCCATGCAGGTTACTGCACCTAGATGATCCAAAATTATGGAAAAACAACCAAACTCAAGCGAGTCGGTGGTCCAGCTTCTTGCTCATGATGTTATTGATGTTCCTTTCACGGATAATGGTCCACAAACAAACAGCAATACCAAACAAGCCAGAAACGAATGTCATGAAATAGGCCGAGCGATAGCAGCCCAGTCCATCGGGGCACTCGCGGTCTCCATCATGGCCGACAACAGAGTGTCCATCGTAGATATTACCGTATAGCAAATTGAAAACATTACCACTGAACACTGGGGCTAGAGTCATGACGCCCCAATTCTGGGACAGGCCACCGATGCCGAAAGTGTGTGCGGTTAGGGAAGGGAAGACGCCAAACAGGAAACCGTATGCGATTCCAGTGAAGCCGGAGACAACGATGAGGCTGTTCGGGTTGGAAATGGTGGTGCCGGCGAGCTGAGTCAGGGTGAAGACTACCGCTGACAAGAATAAACACCAGATGCGGGACATGCCGAGCTTCTTGACTAGCAGGTCAGAGCCGATGCCGCTGAATAGACGGCCAAGGAAATTGCCGAAGGAAAGAATGGACACGTGCATGACCTGGCGGTGTTGGATGAACAGGTCTGTTGCGCTGTCGTCGTAGTATAGCCACAAGGCTTTCACACTGTTGCCAATGTTGTTGATGGTCATCAAGCCGATACCGGACAAGAGTGCCATGGTCAAGAAGAGTTGCCAGAACTCAACTTTGCGGAGCATGGCGAGACCTCTGATGTCGGTTTGGTGCGCCTCAATGGCTACCTCATCTAGGAAGTCATCGTCAAGTGTATCAAAAGAGGGACGGGGGCGGTCGTTCTTGGATACCAAGGTGGAAGTCTCGTCATCATTGGCGAATGCTCTGCCTTGGGAGTTCGAAGCAACCGAGTGCGACCGCGCATGCGTAGGGTATTGTTTGTGATCATAAGCGGTCGAGCCATGTATATCGGATTCTTCTGGCACGGGTAGAAGGTCGCTGGAGTTTTGTCTTCTAGAATCGCGTTCGTTGTGTGGGATAGATGAGTACGGCTCGCTGGCGAGGATTCGAAGGAATGGAATTGCAGCAAATGACAAAATCGAGGTTCCGAGGGCCAGAAGCAAAAGAAAGCGGCCGGTATCATCCTTGAAAACGATAGTCGACAAGTTAGACCAGAATAGCGCGCTCAGTCCAAAGGCGGCCATTGGAAAAGCGGTTGCCGTGCCACGGTGTTCAGGGAAGTTGGATGCCGCTAGAATCATTGGGTTAACACTGTCAAGCAGATTTCGGGGGTCATTGGTGTAACATACCTGTTTTGATGGCACCGCCAAAGGCAGAGCAACCGCCCATGCCAGTAAGGAAAGCGAACAAGCATAGGAAGACAACCGGCATCGATCCTTGCCCATTATCGTATGCTACAAACATTAGAGCTGGTCAATTCCAACAAAGTAATATCAAGACATACCCATATAAATTGGGAAGTAACCCAGGCCCAGGCAAACGGAGCCGATCAGCGAGACAAGTCGCGGGCCGCGGGCATCTGTCAATAATCCCATTGGAATCCCCATAGCATACATCCCCAGGTTCCCCGCGACGCCCTAGAGCTTGTTAAGACCCGTTTCTCGGCACCGGACACCGGACTACTCACAATAAAGTTGCTTTCGGTCGACGAGAGCTTCATACGTTGCGCGAATTGCGGCGCCCATGCGGAATATGCATACTGACAGGGGAGTTAGCCTTCAAGGTCCTGGATTGGGATAAGATCGGAGATATCACGCACATTAGTTCCGCATGAGAGGGCGACCAGCGTCCCCGCAATAACGGAAATAATCCGGGCAGTTCGATGGAGAGAGCCGGACATTATGTCGTTGAGTTGTTGATATCTTGTGCGATACAAGTGTTTTAGTGGGGAGTGTTGATTAGGCCCTAGATAGATGAGAGGCCGATACTAGGAGAAACATCGGACCCAAAATGAAGGGCAAGGGGGAAAAGAGCGAATGAAGTTATACAGAAGGAATTGAGGGAAGGCCTGGGAGTTTTCAGGAGCGTACACTTAGGTAAGGACTTGAAGATGGATCATCCCCGAGGGCCGCGTGGTCAGAACAACCGTCAAGCAAGTGCCAAGGAAACTTTGCTCCACGTCAACTGATGTACGAATACGATGATGATTGATTTCTTAAATGAAAGGAGGAATAAAAAGAGGAATGGAATGTAGATGTACATGTCTTAAGGTTCTACGTTGCATTGATAACGCAAGATTATGTAGATGCGTCAAATCCGCCGGAATTGCACGAATTGCACAAATTACACGAATCGCAACTCGTCATAGTTGGAGTCCACAACGAAATGTCTTTCTCCACACGATAAGGCGGACACATCTCCACTACAAAATGTTCATGTCTTCTCGGTGCCTGGTTAAAGGCCCGGGTTAAAACGGGTGACTCCAACTGAAATTTGTTGGCTTATACCCTCTGTCCTACAGTATCAAAAAATATATATAGAACAGTCGTTTAGATGGGGGAGATAACGATATCGAAAGCTCCCACTATTCTTGTCTACAATAAAAGTATATTGTAGGTTTCTGAGTATCTGTCTCAAGACATAACAATGTTCTTCATCAGGCATCGTTTTTCTTGGCAGATAATCTCGCTATCTAGGAACTCAAATGTCATACAGAACAGATTCCAGGGCTTGAGACTTTTGGTGAAAAACAACGTCGAGGGAGATAGTCTAATCCCTAAAGGGCAGGACAAAAGAGGGCTGACACGTGATCTATTTTCGGCTTGGAAATATTACATAACATCAATGACGGAGGCGGACTCAGATGATCTTCAATCTGATCATTTGCGTCTCTCCACACTCTCATCGATTCTGGATCTTGGTTCACTTTCATTGTATATCAGAACCAGGACACTAGGTTATCGAATACCTACACTCCCAATATGGGTGCCCTCCTTTCCATTCCGCTGTTGGCTGTGCCAAGTGTTGGTACAGTATGTTGTCGCCTATCTCCAGTTCACCGATAGACTTGCACATTTGGCTAAGTGATTCTCTCGCAACAGCTATTGACAGTCGCAACATCATGCTGTGGAGCAGCGACATGTTCTGCCGTCTGCAGCGCCTGCGGAAAGTTTCAAAACAGGTACCATTTATCAGTTGCCTAGTGCGGAGAACCTCGGACTAACAAGGATAACAGTATGGCGACGAGAATCGCCTATGCCTTCATCCTTTTGATCAACTCTATAATATCCTGGATTATGCTCACACCGTGGGCTTTGAAAAAATTGCAAAATTTGACACTGGATTATATGGAGATTCGATGCGATGGGAAGGAATGTCACGGCTGGGTTGCGGTCCATCGTATCAACTTTGCCCTTGGTCTCTTCCATTTGATCTTCGCCCTTTTGCTTCTCGGGGTTAAAAGCTCCAAGGATACTCGCGCCGCTCTCCAGAATGGATACTGGGGCCCGAAGGTTATCCTCTGGGTGGCCTTTGTCGTCATGTCGTTCTTTATCCCGGAACCCTTCTTCTTCGTCTATGGCAACTATATCGCCTTCTTCTGCGCCATGCTCTTCCTGCTTTTGGGTTTGATCCTTCTGGTGGATCTTGCGCATTCGTGGGCGGAGCTATGTCTGCAGAAGATCGAAGACAGCGACTCTCGTGTGTGGCGCGGTCTGCTTATTGGTTCCACCCTCGGCATGTACTTGGCATCTGTCGTCATGACAATCCTGATGTACATCTTCTTCGCGAACAGCGGTTGCTCTATGAACCAAGCTGCCATCACCGTATGTGTCCCTCACCCCACGAATCTTGGTGCCCAACTGACTCGTCGCAGATTAACCTGATCGTGTTTTTGATCATCTCTTTCATCTCTGTTCAACCAGCAGTGCAAGAATCGAACCCTCGCGCAGGACTAGCTCAAGCTGCAATGGTCACTGTCTACTGTACCTACCTCACCATGTCTGCAGTCTCGATGGAACCGGATGACAAGAACTGCAACCCTCTCGTCCGCTCCCGGGGACCCAGGACCGCCACTACTGTCCTCGGTGCTATTGTCACTTTGTTGACCATCGCATACACCACTACCCGTGCTGCTACCCAAGGGATTGCCCTGGGATCGAAGGGCGGTCACAACTACATCCAGCTAGGCACGGATGACAACGAGCACGGTTTGGTGACGCAGCAGCCAAACATCCGTCGGGAGATGCGCGCTGAAGCTCTCCGGGCTGCCGTCGAGAGCGGCAGTCTTCCTGCCAGTGCCCTGGATGATAGTGATGACGAGGATGAGTATGACACCACAAAGGACGACGAGCGTGGTTCAACCCAATACAATTATTCACTTTTCCATATCATCTTCTTCCTCGCCACGACATGGGTGGCCACTTTGTTAGTCCAGGGACTGACGGTGGATACCACGACAGATTTCGCGCCGGTGGGCCGCACATACTGGGCCAGCTGGGTGAAGATCGTCAGCTCCTGGGTCTGCTATGCTATCTATCTGTGGACTCTGGTTGCGCCTGTTGTGTTGCCGGATCGCTTCGGTGTTTATTAGTTTTTTTTATTTTATATTATTGATTTTGGGCGTTAAGAGCGATAGTGTTGCTCCAAATTCGTCCGTTTTGGTTTATATCCGTCATTGCAGTGTTACACAATTCTAAATTTGCAAATGAATATATCCACATCGTTGTAGCGAAAACAAACAGTCCTTGGATTAAGTAGAAGGGCGTCCTCGAACATATAGCGCTGTCGTATCCAACTGGCCCACCGCGGTCTTGGCAAAACACGCGTTAAGTGAACGCGTGCCAACTTATCCTCCCCAGACATCATGGGATGAAGATGGCGACAATCCAAGCCATCGAGGCCCGCTCTGTACGCAATCCAATGTTCTCCCGCAATGCACTAATCTGACCCGCGCATTAATTAGGTACACCAAATCCAATCGGGTCAAGTCATCGTTGACCTATGCTCCGTCGCCAAAGAGCTTGTCGAAAACAGTCTGGATGCTGGTGCAACGACGATCGGTGGGTGAATAACTTTCCGGATATGGTTTGTGACACATTTTCTGATAATTTCGGGGGTTTTAGAGGTCCGATTTAAGAATAATGGACTGGACCTCATTGAGGTCCAAGATAACGGCAGCGGGATCTCGCCGGAGAACTATGAGAACGTTGGTGAGTTGTCGCCTCTCTCTTGGTACAGTGCGCCCAAGCTGATTCTTTCCTCTTAGCATTAAAACACTATACCTCCAAATTGTCGTCATACGATGATCTCTCAAGTCTACACACCTTCGGTTTCCGGGGCGAGGCGATATCCTCACTCTGCGCGTTAGCCGACTTTCACATCGTCACGGCACAAGAAAAGCAAGTTCCTCGCGCGAATCGGCTGGACTTTGAACAATCTGGGAAACTCCAGAAAACACAGATCGTGGCTGGGCAGAAAGGAACGACGGCATCAGTAGAAGGCATCTTCAAGCGACTTCCCGTGCGTCGGCGGGAATTGGAGAAAAACATCAAACGGGAATACGGGAAGGTTTTGAATCTGCTGCATGCATATGCATGTATTAGCACTGGAGTCCGGTTCAGCGTCAGGAATACTGTTGGCAAGACACGGAATGTGGTGGTCTTTTCTACGAATGGAAATAAGACCACCAAGGAGAATATTGCCAATGTGTATGGCGCAAAGACATTATCCGCCCTGATATCCCTTGATCTAGAGCTGGAGTTTGAGCCTGCCGCAGCTACGAAAAGGGCTGGCGATGACCAATTGAGTAAAATTCAAGTGCGTGGCCATATCTCGCGTCCTGTATTTGGCGAGGGACGCCAGACTCCGGACCGTCAAATGTTCTTCGTCAACTCGCGACCATGTGGTCTGCCGCAAATCCAGAAGGCGTTCAACGAGGTTTACAAGTCGTTCAATGTGTCGCAGTCGGCGTTTATCTTTGCGGACTTTCAGATGGATACAAACGCTTACGATGTCAACGTTTCGCCTGATAAGCGCCAAATTCTGCTTCATGATGCGGGGGCTATGATTGAGTCGCTCAAAGTTTCTCTTACAGAACTCTTTGCGGATGCAGACCAAAGTGTGCCCCAATCATCGGTCAAATCCAGGCCTTTGCCAAAACAGCAAGCACTAGCGTCACTTCCAGGGTTTGTCACTGCTCGGGAACTGAGCGGAAACAGTGGAATTAGAAGTCCAAGTCAAGATCGGACGAAAGAAAGCTCAGTGGAGACCCCGGGGGCGAGTCAGCAGAGCGCGATTCAGCGTTTCACAAGCTCACAAGGGGCCACGGGAAAGGCCCAAGCCACGCCATCTCCAGCTCGATCAACGAGAACAACCCACGCTGCAACGACTCGCTCTTCGATGTCGACGTCAATGCCAAGTGAGCTAGAAACGCCTGCTGCGGAGCTCTCCGATGATGAACTTTTCGTCCAAGAAGCCGCCCAGAAGGAGCCTGAGCCAACGCCTATCTCCCGTGAACTTTCATCCCAACCGTCAGCTCCTGACGAGACTCCATCTCGCGCTCGTGGAGACCCGGAAGAAAGCCCCAACATTGTCCAAAATGCCTTCCATAGAATGCGTCCACGACGAGAACCCGCCGAGCTAGCTACTATCACTATTGGCAACCGAACTGTAACATCCATGGTCGGTAGTGGTCTTCCACGAAAACGATTGTCAGACGATCCACCTCTAATGAAAGAGCCACCTCGACGGAAGAGACGGATACACACACCCTCACGTCCCAATATCTTTGGTGAACATATGAAAGCGTTTGCTGCGCCTGGGTCGCAGCTGGATGACGAAGAAGACGAAGGCGCCTCTCCTAGCAAAGATGACCAGAGTGAAGATGAAAACAACCTCTCAAGTGAGATCGAGGAGACACAAGGTGTGGTGCACGAACCCGAACCCGAGGGCTCTCCTTCGCCCGATGATGGCGACTATGTTCCCGACCAAGCTGTAGCCCAATCAGAAATCGAAAATACCGAGAAAAGACACAAAGACACTGCTGCAGATGACAATCTCGACGAAGCTGAGAAGAAGGCACAGGAAGAAGTTACAGTGCAACGGCTCATTCATGAAGCCGAGGAGACTGCTGTGCTTGCCCAAGAAAATAGCGCAAACCGGGCAAAGAAGATGAACAAGGGCGCTGCGCATCGCGACGCGACTACACAGCTTGTTGGCATGGTAGACGGGTCTATTTCACGTCTCCAGTCTCAACTCATCACATTACAAAAAACCCTGCAAGCAGGCACCAATAAAACGACAGAGGAATCCACAGATCTTGACGAGAAAACCGCCGAGGATAAACTTTCCTTGACTGTAAGCAAGAACGACTTCGCCCAAATGCGCATCATCGGCCAGTTCAACTTGGGCTTCATCATCGCAGTCCGTCCAGGAGAAGACCACGATGAGCTCTTCATCATCGACCAACATGCCTCTGATGAGAAATTCAACTTCGAGCGCCTCCAAGCTGAAACGGTGGTGCAAAACCAGCGACTCGTCTGCCCACAACGCCTCGATCTCACTGCTATAGAAGAAGAGGTTGTCCTTGAGAATCGCGCCGCCCTTGAGAAAAACGGTTTCCTTGTGACTGTCGACGAAAGCGGCGATGAGCCTATCGGTCGTCGATGTCAACTGGTCTCGTTACCGTTGAGCAAGGAAGTGGTATTCGGCGTACGCGACCTGGAGGAACTGATTGTGTTGCTGTCAGAGTCAATTTCAACATCAGATGGACTGTCAGTACCACGGCCAAGCAAAGTGCGCAAAATGTTTGCTATGCGCGCCTGTCGGTCAAGTATCATGATCGGAAAGACCTTGACGAACCGCCAGATGGAACGAGTCGTTCAGAACATGGGTACTATCGACAAACCTTGGAATTGCCCCCATGGTCGACCCACCATGCGGCACTTGATGAGTCTGGGCCAGTGGGATGAATGGAATGAATTCGAGGACACCGAAGGACTCGACCCTTGGAAACAATACTTGGAAGGAGAAGACGAAGATGAATAGTCCATAACGATACCCTGTGCGTGATATAGATGTATAAACAAATCAAATGAACAAAGACATGAACCATCACCACCATCGCAACCACCCTTTCGGCGACTGATCCACTTTCTTCCCATTATCATCAATCTCGACATGTCCATTTGCATTTCCATTCTCAACATCTCCATTCAGTTCCGTATCACTACCATTTTCACTCTCATGTTCCCCACCTTTCTCAACATTATCCATCATATCTTCCAAGGCCAGCAAATCACGCTCAATCATCTCCGCCCAATTCTGCACATCCCCGATCTCCTTTAATCCCTCGCGCGTCTCATCTGCGAGTCCAACCCACTGCTGATTTTGTCGTGCCAGTCGCTGCGTATTCTCCGCTAGCTCGGCTTCTTGTCTTTCCAGCGCCGCCGCGTTGGATTGGATGTTTGCTGCGCGGTCACGGAGCGGCGCTTCGAGGTTTGTTCCCACTGAGTGGAGTGTTGCGGTAAAGGCTGCTAGCGCTTCCTTTTGTCGTTGGTCTGCGTTTTGGTCGGTTGGACTTGGATTCAGTTGCGGGGGGTTGTCCATGGTTGATTTGGGTTTGGATCTTGTGTAGATCTTTGAGATTCAGATAATCTCTGTATTTTTGGACTGGTTACTCTGATATATGTAAAAGGACTGACCCCACCCGGCACATGTCATCTTTATCCGTTCCCCGCTATAGATGCTTGTCCGCGTGTCTCACGTGTAATAACTAATAAACTACCTTCTGGATGTTCCAGAATAGACATCAGGAGCATCCCACATTTCATATCTTGAGCCAGTCTTGGAACTAGATATCCAGATTCCTAAAGTTCTACGTTGACAAGGACCTCGCGTACGGTATTTGGGTCGCTTTGCCTCTTTGAGGATCATCTTCTGCGTGGCGTATCTTCTAATCCCGTGGATTGTTTTTTTTTTTTTTCGGAATAGCCGATGGATCAATGGGCTTGACGCCGGCCGGGCTCGAAGACGGGGTTGTCGCATTGCGGTTTCTCTCCGCTTCAGCGCTAGACGCATCTTGCAGAATCCTCTGCGTAGGGATGGTCTTGGAGGGTCGTGGCCCCGGGATCCTTCCTGACGATCGATCCGCAACGGTTGAGCCTCTTCGCGATTTGCCAGTTTGGCGGGACTTTGTGGGCGGCGGGGACGGGGTTGTTTCGGTGGCCATTTTCTTGGATGAAACTGAAAACTTGTCTCTGCGAAGTGTATGAACCGGCATCAGATTCATTATCTTCCGCCGGGTGGTTTGATCCATCAGAGGGTAGTTCCAGGTCTGATTCGCTGACGGGCCTCTCTTGAATTCCATCTGGAGCTGACGATCCTGGCAAGATTTGATCGTTATCATCGACTTCAGGTAGGATATTAGGTGGATTAGGGCGGGACTCAGGAATATCCTCCGCGTCGACACCTAGGTGTTTGAGTTTGATCTGCCGTTCATGTTCCCGCTCCTGCACACCCGGTGCTTGCTGCTGTATTGGATAAGTCTGAAGCGAGAGTGCCATATTGTCCATATCCTTTCTCTTGGATCCCGAACCGTCATATCTTTCAGTCGACATCTCTCGGGTGAGAAGATTACCAGGCCGATCCTGGCTGTCACTGTCAGAGGGCATCCTCCTTTGCAAGAATACTCAGGATTCGGATGATTCACGACGGACGAAAGATGAAGTTGGAAGATGATGCGACCACTTCCATGATGGTGAAAGATAAACGATGCTCAAAGAATCCTGCGGACAGAGCAAGAGACTGAGAGCAAAGGGACGCTAGATCACAGCTAGGAGGTGAGTCTTAAGTTTCCCACTTCCCCTATCATAATATAAAACACATGCTTCCTTCTAACCTACATATGTATACAATCACCATCTCTTCCTTGCATTCATCCCATTTTATTATCAGTCTAAAGGGGAATATAACAGCCCGGGCCACGGTATTGCGTGCACCAGTGATTACGAGAGAGGGTTTTGAGATCAATCTTTCTGTAATTCCTAACATAGGACCCTGGGGTCGCCCGTGAGGAGAGCAAATGTTTTACTAGAATGGCCATCTTATAGCCAGTCACCTTGAATAATATCCCAATTAGGCATAGTAGGCATGTTCTTTGTTCTCAACGTGCTCACGTGAAGTCGTGCCGAGTCCCTCCTTTCGTGCGCTATCACCTCAGGTATCCTCTATAAAAGCCCGAGGGCCCTGGTTCTCAAACTTCATCCTGTCAACCACCTCTATCACAAGCTTCCCGGATCTGATCTGGCACGGCTTCCCTGACTGGAGTGGTACAGGTGAGCACCCTTAGATATTATGTGTCCCCGAACTCTTCTGACAATCGACAGCCTTAGTAGACGTACAGGAGACTCTGTGGAGTCTCCTAAATACTGAACAGGTTGGGTACGTGATCATTGTCCCGCCCATAAACTTATGATAATGCTGACTCGTGCTCCTTTCTGATTAGATCCTTCGTTGGAAAACCGATATCGAGGCCCCCTAAGCCTCGACGACACGGTTGTATGTTCTACGGCCAGTGACAATATTTTCTCCCATCACTGACTTGTCACATCTCAGAATCTTCGTTGGATAGCGGCAAAGCGTACCTGCACTGAGCATTGACGCTGTCCTGTCAGCCTTAGTGATGTCGGGGTGAGTTCTCCAGCCAGTGGCACTTTTTTTCCATTCCTAACCATACTCCCCTTCCATCAGAAACTGTGTCACCAACGCCCGGACCAAGTCGGCCCTCTCTTCGGAGGTACATCATGCTATAAATCTTGGGAAGGCAGATGGGATCCAAGGCCTATCAATCTACGAGGGGGGGGATAGCCCGACCCGAAATGAGTATGCACGTAGCAATACGAGTGATTATTTCGTTTGTTGCGGTATCCAGGACGCAAGTCCAGGTATGTTCTTCCCGCCTGTGGATTTTCATGATTCCTAACCTGTGGTCTTCATGAGAGCCTTCGTGGGAAAACCTGAAGTCAGACTGGGTATGTACAATCCCAGTCTTGACGGGTCCGGCTAAATTCCAGGTGAGTCCTTCTACCAGTCTGTTTGTTTTCGTTGCTAACTTGAGGGTATTTCTGATCAGTGCATTCAGCGGAGTTTTTGGCATTACACAGTCACTGTGTGATATCTCTGGCATTGGCCATGCAACCCCGCCTTTTTCTTTTCGAAAAAAAAAGCGAAGAAACAAGTTGAACCTCATGGGTTACTCGTTTGGCCTTCGGGGGGCCTATGTGGGCAGTGGGATTTTCAGTGGGCTCATGGAATTTCTGTGGGCTTTCAGGTCAATAAGAGAGCTATTGCTCTCTTGCATGGGTACATGATCCGAAGAGAAGATACTTTCGGATCAGTACACACAGCAGGGCCATATAACAAAACTTCCATTGCATCTATGACCGGAGTGGGCTGAATAGACATTGGACTATTTGCCTCCTATGCTCTTGATCATTGATATACCTGGAAATATTCCATCCCAATCAAACAAGATTAGCCGTAGGTTATAGTATCTAGCTTTGATGTCAAGGGTTTTGCTATTACAAGTATAACCTATGAGACACAATACCTTCTGCTCCTATTGCTTCTTCTGTTTCTAGACTTTCGCCACTTGTGGGCAAGTAAAGCAAAACAGTGAAGAAATACAAAGGGCAGAAGAACTATTTGGCCCCAACGTAGCTAGCGCTGAGAAGTATTTACGACTTCGACATTGAAATGATGAAGATATAAGTTTGGTTTCATGGCATTGAGCAGCATGAAAATGATGAGAATTGATTTCATAGCAAACTAATTTAAGGTCTAGATAATCCTAGTCCCAAGTGGTCACTACGAAGAAGAGAGTGAAGAGGCACTTGTAAATTCTAATCCTAATTCTAATTCCAATTCTAATAAATTCTAAAAACATGTAAACATAAAGCGGAGACATAAATAAGCCGAGGACGTAGATTGTCGAACTTCAGTCTTATACCTCGATGTGTGCAGTCTCACCCATTTGCTTTTCACTACTCTCGGTGTTCAAAGTTCGGTGGTGCCCAGGGTAGACGGGATAACCTCTGGTTTCCCAAACACCTCCAGTAATTCCGCCTCTCGAGAAGAGGTGATCAACATCCTCCAGTTCTAATCCCTTGGTCTCGGGGAAGAAGAAGAAGACCATTGGAATCTTGGTTCAGTCAGTATCATAAAACACGAAAATTAAGTTCAGGATCGGGGACGTACCCAGGCAAAACAGAAGCAAGCGAAGATGATAAAAGTTTTCCATCCAATATTGTCAATTGCTGTTGGTGTAATTTGGACGACAATGACTGCGAGGGTTAGCGAAATCACTTATATCCTATTGGGACCAATCAACCTACAAACACAAATCCAATTGACGAAGCCACCAAAAGCCTGAGCTCTAGCTCGGATGCGAGTAGTCGAGATTTCAGAAGGATAGAACCTGATAATTATTAGCAGTGGTACACAAACACAAACAAGATAGGAAAAGCCCACCAGGGAACTGGCAGATAACCAATGCCAAGGAACAACTGGAATATAAACACAAACACGGTAGCTGCATATGCACATGACTGAGTGCCAATCGACAATAGAATAGCAGCCATCACGAAGCAGAAACAGAGACCGGCGGCGGAGACCATGAGTGAAACACGTCGGCCAAATTTATCCATACTCCACAAGGGGATAACAGAGCCAACAAGGTAAGCGAGAGAGGTGCAGCCGCCGAGAACCAAGGATAGGTTGCGAGATAGATTCATAGCATTCTGTTTTGTAACTGATATTAGTTGACCTGTTCGGCTGGACATGGCCATAGGAGCATACCTGATAGACAATGGGGGCATAGTAGTTGATCATGTTAGAGCCTATAATATGTCAATACATCAATCCTCCATAGCACCTGAACGGGTATTGCTCACCTGTAAATTGCTGCTGAATATTGATAACAGCAGCCAAGATCATGCGTCGAAGATTCCCCATCGGGCCACCCGACCAGAGCTCCTTGTACTTGAAAGGTCCGCCAGCAGACTCAATCTCGATAGACGATACAATTTGGTGACGTAGAAGAACAACCTCAGGATCCGACTCATCAGCGGGCTGATCTAGTTGTAGACGTGCCAGGACCGACGCTGCCTCGTCACTGCGATCTTGTTCACAGAGCCAGCGGGGGGAATCAGGTAGGGGAATCATCTGCAAAACCAAGCAGACGGCAAAGAAAGCCTGGAAGCTGATTGGGAACCGCCACTGAACGGGTGTGTCGACAAAGCTGAGTCCATAGTCCAGCCAGTATGCGATGCAGAGACCGAGAATTGTAACAGTTCCTTGGGCAGAGAGCAACATGCCACGCTGATCTGGACGAGCTAACTCAGATTGGTATGCTGGAACGGTACTGCTGTTGATGCCATTGCCAAGGCCGGTGACAATTCGGCCGACGAGGAATTGAGGAACGGTATAGGAACTGCCAAGGATGATTGTTCCTATGATCATGATTGAACCACCTGCGATAATCATCTTGCGGCGACCGTATCTGTGGCCAATGACCAGACTGAGGAGGCAGCCTACTGCACAGCCGATATCGTAGATGGAAGTAAGGAGACCCTGCATCGTGCTGTCGGGATTGTTGAATGTTTGTCCGAATTGGTTGTTCGCGCCAATCAGGCCGCTCATCACACCCTGGTCATATCCCAGGAGAAGAAAGGCTTGACAGCTCGCAGCCGTCACAGCCCAGTGTAGGTATTTTCCGCGTAGGACCATACTGTGCTTAGATCAACGGGGAAACTGGAGAGAGGTTGGGATCCGGGGCCCAAAGTCTTTTTCTCCATGCTTTCAACCATTTCAACCCCATTGCATGTCGGTTCGCTCTTGTCCGAAAATCCTTGGCTGTTCGGTTTAATACACCCCGGGGCCGCTAGTAACGTTCACCCGTGGTACGAAACAGGATTAGCGCAAATGCTTCCCCGTGGGGGCTTCCCCACACTGACGAATCCTTGGATGCGATTGGAGCCAACCTCGGAAGGGTCGCGGAAGGCTGGACAGGGGTCTGAAAAGCGCCATTAACGTCTGAGACTTTGAGTTGCAGATAATTGAAGACTCACTGCCTTGACGTGATCACTGGGCTCCAGCTTTGCTGAAAAAAACAATTGATAGTGCATTTTTTTGGGAACAGCTCACATTAGCGCAATGTAATCTCCAGTATAATGGTACGTAAATTTAGTGCAAGTATTCAGCCACCTCAGTGGATCAGACGTATACGCTTGAAAAAACCTGATGTATATTACACTCCATTATCATTTGTGCCGGGTAAATAGCCGAGCTGTCTAGAAGCATAGGTATATCTAAGCGTTTTGTGTTGATCTTCAGTGCCGCAAATTCCTGCCATTGACATTCAATAATGGGGCGGTTTCCTAGTTGAGACATAAAAAACGGCTACTCTACCGACGCTATGGGTCTTACTACCGGGGGTCGTCCTTGTCAAGCTGGAGAGATCAAGGGGACGTAGTACAGTTCAGGTTGTCGGCTCTAACATTTCTTAGCATTCTCTTCGGTATATATACCCGCCCGACAGGTTGGAATACTAGCAACCAGCTTGGGCACGAGTTTACTTAAGCAAAAGTTACACCTGAGATATCTGTGAGTGTCAAGCAGCTTCCTGTCCTAGGAGCTACAGCTACTACTATTAAATACAATACTACGAAGAATTCCAGCGCATTCAAGTATTTTTCTGAGCGAATAAATTGGCATACATATATCTAAAGATCTGAATATATGTTCACAGCCTCGATCTGGCGAGAAATCCAATGCCGATCGGAATGTAGGCGCATGAGGTTATCCTTAATCATAATCAACCGGCTCTCAAGCTTGCGAGTCTTTTCTAGAAATGCACCATTGTGCCCGTAATAACCGCGTCCATCAAGCACGGTAAGACATCTCGGCATCTCCCTACACATAGCGGCACTAGCCCGTTCAACTACACGTACCTCGTCAATAAGATCGGTGAGGTTGTCAACTGCCAGTGCCAGACGAAGAGGCGAAGCCCCCTTGCGCGTTCTAATAGCATCAATCTCGAGCTGTAGCTCAGCCTTGAATCGATTGCGTGTGCGCAGAAACTGGAGCTCAGGGTTTCCTGTCAGGGAAAACATATATATAAATTGGTAAGTTAAAGCAAAACTGAGGAGGGGGGACCTCTTTCAAGTTAGCTGGTAATACTATTGAAGATATAGTTGATGCAGATGCACGATTTTTAATAAGGAGGTGGGATGTTTATTTATGAAATTTCCATCGAGGGGAACCTTACTATTGGAATCAAAGGAAATGTCATACACGAAACAATGCGAGTTACAAAGACTTCAATTGTTTTCTCTACCTCTTTCAGGGGGGCCCGTTCATTCTTTGTGGTTCGAGCAGGGATACCTAGGTAGACTTGATAATGAATTGGTAATGACAACTGTACCACTGGTCAGTGAAAGGGATTGTTTAATTCTTTGGCATACCATAGTGCACTAGGTACATCAAAATATTGTATGGTTCCACGCTGAGGAAGGATTGCTGTGTGGGTGCATGTAGCTTCGGCAGCCGCGTTCCAAACGATAGTAGCAGCGACGAAGATAACATCTCCCTAGCTAAGCGACTCGAAGACCCTGGTATTATTCAGCGGGAGAATGAAATCTCTCAATACTCTTGTTCGTCGGCATTTGAGAACAGAACTAAAATATCGGGGCATTGTTACCACTTTCGAGGGCAACTTGCGGCTTCGAAAGTGAGCAAATGTATTGGACGAGAAAAGAATTATATAACCGAGCATGTACACCTTGAAATAAAAGAAAGGCTGGCATCCAAGGCTGAGAACTGCCCAAATCAAATTGAAGAACCTGGAGAAGACCGCGTCATCGAGACTCGGCGCATACCGCTAACCCGAAATAGGCTTCTTGTTGCGGCTCACATCAGCAACGTCGATATAAGACATACCTTGAGCCTTTGTTTGCGGCTATCTTTTTTGACCAAACCTACCTGGTTGTGAACCATCTGAAAATGAACCTGACCGACCGGATCCTTCATTCAATCTATGGGCTCCCGCCTCCGACTAGCGGTATACGCAAAGAGCCCATGCAAGTGCTGGCCGTCGGGATCTCACGAAGCGGAACCGACAGTCTCCGCGAAGCATTGCATTTTCTCGGATTTAACCATACCCATCACGGGTTTGACACAATCCTCCCCCCTTCATCCCTGGAAGGGATATACCGGCTTTTGCAAAAGAAATACACCACAGCCCCAGAAGCCGACAAAATCAACAAATTGACGGTGAAAGATTTCGACTCAATTCTACTGAACAGTGTGGGTGTCAGCGATTTATTCGCAGCTGAGTTCGCCCCCGAACTCATCGAAGCCTACCCCAACGCAAAGATCATCCTTAATGTCCGCCAGGATCTTGACAGCTGGTACCGTAGCATGCAAAACACAATGGGATATTTTGACAAAAACCCTATTGATTGGGACTGGTGCAAATCTTGGTTCAGCGCAGATCTATTTTGGATTCGCCAGACAATGTCGAGGACTATGATGCCACGATTCTTCAGAGGAAGTTTCCAGTCGAACGGGAAGTGGGTCTATGAGCAGCATGTTACGATGGTTAGAGGTTTAGGTTTGCCGGAGGATCGACTTCTCGAGTGGTCTGTTGAAGATGGCTGGGAACCTCTTTGTCGGTTCCTGAACAAGCCAGTGCCTGACATGCCGTTCCCCAATGGCAATCCTCCAAAGGCATGGGCAGAACGAATTGCCAAGATAATGGAGGCTCATCATAAACGGGCAGTGAGAAATATGCTTATTTTTGGGGCTTTGACTTTCATGATTCCTGTTGTTCTGTGCACATATTTGGGCGGAATCTTTTGAGGGAAGCGGAGAATCGGCACATAGTTTTCCTAATCTTACTAATTTCTAGCCTTCTTACAACTGAGTAGAATCTATAATTCTGTCACTTGTGGGGGAAATGTCCTATTTTCGATATATATATTTGAACAACTCCTATGTAGTTCCATGTAATTGTATAGTCTAGGCTCATAGCATGATTACCGTGTAGTACTCTCGATCATAGTTATACTACATCAAGAAAATAAACTTGATGCGTATTTTAATAGATCAATTCTTGCCGACGCAGACACAGCCTTGATAGCCGCTGTGAAGTAAGGAATATCGACACCCTTGAAAGAACAGCTTCTTCCATGAACCTCGATAGTCACGGTGCCAATGTCATCGTCACCCGAAATGGCCTCGTGAATCAACCTTTCTTTATCAACTGAACCGAGGACCACAGCGCTGCTGATAGTCTTTTGCAGAAATAAATAGGGTACATCGACCCATCCCAATTCCGAGCCACCCATAGTGAGATTGAAAGTCACATGTCCCTAAATTCGTTAGCACATACTTCTATCTCAGGGTATGGGATGTATTGATATACCATCTCAACAATGAAAGGAGTCGGATTGTGCACGGAGATTGTGGCATTGAAATTATATCCATCAACTGGGGGGTCCAGGAGGTCTATACTGGTGACGTTGAATGCGCCTTCGGTATTGATGAAGTCTGCGAATTTTTTTAGCAAAGTGTGTTTTCAGCGGCCCAATTTATTATCGTATGTATCACCTGTGACATTATAACCTAAGGTTGTCAGCTTGTTTCATAGGAATGTAATCGAAAACCTATACTCACCGCCCACGTTCATTATTTTATGGATGTTCAAATGAGCAGTCGGCAGTGCTCCAAAACTCAAATCCGGTGAACCCTCGATCAAAATGGAAGAGCTTTTGTTAGACCCAGCTGCAGACGCCAATCGTGACAGACAGTCGACACACGACAAATCCAAATCTTGGTCTATTTCGAGGGTAGCGCCATTGCCAAATGCAATGCTGGGCACTGGGAAGACCGCAAAGAGCTCATGGGTGTCTTTGAGACGACATGTGGCATTGAATGCGTTCATATGGCCACTACCACTAAACCCACCTCCCATTTGAAGGGTTTGCTTTTGTTTAACATGAAAGGCGGCTGGCCGGGGGTTGGTAATCTCGAGACCATCGTAGTCATACTCGTACTTGTTGATATAATCGTTCGCGAAATTAGGAATCCCGACATAAAAGCTGAGAGATAATTAGTATAAACAGCTATAATATTCCATGTTGCAGCTCACAGTGGGAGAATAATGATTAGGACAGAGATGCAGAATGCGATCGAATAAGCCCACCAGAGCCTCTTCATATGTGCCTTGAATCGGTCCCATAAGGTTGGCTTTGCCGGGGCCGGTAGCACCTCGTCCGCTTCAGAGTTACTTGAGATGTCGGATTTTGACATGATGGGTGCAAATGTTGACGAGTGCCAAAATAGTCGTGGACGGTGAAAGTCCAGTAGATAGCAGTATGACAACTGCTTCCCATGCTGCAGCGTGTGGAGGTAGGAGTAGAGAAGAAATTAAATCAGCTTTCAAGATCGAGGGAAGCAATTTCATAACTAGTCGCCGCGACGGGTTTGATACCCCATGTCGATCAGACCCGCCTTTCACATGATAGCGAGATGTGCACGGCAATGATTCAAAACGAGAAGAATGTCTTTGCGAGAAATCAGTAACTGGCGACATAATATTTATTCCAGGATCAGCTATGTTATCTGATCTCGGGCTGAAGGACTAGCATTCGCTATGTAGTATTCGAAGACGAGGCTCAAGGCAAAGAGACCTGAGAATATAGATCCCACCGACACTACCCGATTAGGACTAGTTTCATAGTCGGTGGGAACTATATTCCTGGGGTATCTAGCAAAAGTAGTCAAAGTGGCCAATTAAGACCTTCAATAACTCATTGATTTGCCCCAAAGGTCATATTTCTCGTATCGGATACGTGATCAGCACGATGACGTTCGGTGAATTGCAGATCATGCGCGAAATAGGGTGATCAGCCAAGACAAACCTCGGCTGTGGATTAAACTGCCTGCAAACTACTTATGTCAATTATTAATGCCTGGTCTCCGGTTTCGAAGTGGTTGCGGCTGAGCTGAGACCGTGGCGTTTACCCCCGGACCCGCTCTTGCTGAGATCAGCAACGGATTGAAAAATTGAAAACCAATTTTGGCGTCTGCTCTATAAACCATTTCTCCGTGTCTCAATGTATAAGCCTCGCTCAAGGGGGTAAAAAGCTACTGTGGATGGAATGCTATCTATGAGCACAAGCTGAAGAATATTACAGAGTCAGTGCTCGCATTCCATCTACACCTAGTGTACAACTATAAAGATACATATTTACCTACAAGAATTGAAGTTTCCATGAATGCTCGAAGCTCTCATTCTAGGCCTCGAACCATGAAAATCCACGGGCTGAAGTGTGGAACACAGACCGGCCCGTCCCGTGAGAAATGTTCCGAAAATTCCACTTGGAATGTTACCTATTTACATGGCTATGTACAGAGCCTTGGAAGCAACTTTTGTTCCCATAATTCTAGTATTCTCTTTCGGTAACCTGGAAGCTGACTGGTCAAAGGGGTTGGAACCTAAAATCGTATTCAAAGCGGGAGTTAACTAACCAGGCGGGCTGGTTGGGGGCCAAGAAAATATATTAATACTATTCCCCTATCAGAATATGGCTAGAAGTTGAAACAAACCCCAAAAAGGTCAAAGGTCTAGGCCCCAAATGACAACGCTAACTACAAATGGGATAGGACGCGCATTTTTTTTTTTTTGTCTTTGTCCACGGGTCCTTTTGAACATTCCCTTTGTAAATGGAAGAGCCCGTGTATTCTCCTTTAAACTTCTGTCATGCTCCCACACTCAGTTCCACCCAAAGAAGGCCGTCCGTTAGATTCATGGTCAAAAGCCAAAACACGACGAAAAAGCATGCTTTTGCGAACCACTCGCCTCATTATTGCGGTAGTAGTTGCGTGGTTGGTAATATCATTTCTGTTCCTTAGGTCGCCAGCTCCAGACGCGAGTCAGCAATTGACTTCCAGCTTGGTCACGGACAAAGTTTGGCGAATTTGGCCCACGGATATCAGGATTGTGGAATCATTGGAACATGATTCAACGCCAGATACCCCTGATGAACAGTTAATTGGAGAAACTCCAGCAGGGTTGGAGGAAAATGTAGACCAAGGGTCATCACAATCAATTTCAAATATCGTCGAAGATATCAACCACACGAATTCAAACGACCTAGAGCCTGATCTCTTAAAGGATATGGAACCCGATCTCGTTGAGGCCGCTCTTGACTACCTCCTATCGACAGTTCCTAACGAGCTATACGTCCAAGAATTCCTACGGCCAGTAGTCAGCACAGGCGAGGCGAGGCTACACGAGCTTGGCCTGCGTACACGCGTATATAAAGAGTTCTTCGAGACTTGGGAGAATGTACACCTCGTCAACAGCGACGATAATCACACTTACGCACGGAACGATATCGTCCCCTACATCCGCGACAAGTTCAGCGAGTCAACATACCCTGAAGTGCTCCGCAAATACGATTCTTATCGCCAATTTGTCACCAAACTCTCTGCGCTGTTGTTTCCGTGGACGAGCCCATACTTTGCAGATCATATGAGTATGCGCGCCTCGTTGCGCCATGGAGGCCGTGGCATCGTGACAACGGCCGGCAATGGTCAGGCGCCTTTTCTACTGGCTGCCATACCTTCTTTTCGTCTGCTGGGCTGCGATCTTCCGGTCGAGGTCATGTATCTCGGTGAAAGCGATCTGAGCGAGGACTTCCGGATCAAGCTGGAGGCGATACCAGGCGTCACAACGCGTGACCTCTCCAAACTGGTTAATGATCAAGGTTGGCAGCTCAACGGATGGGCTGGTAAGCCCTTTGCTATTCTCTTCTCGTCTTTCCGCGAAGCCCTGTTCATCGACGCCGACTCGCTGTTTTTCGTTAACCCCGAGTCACTGTTTGACGACCCGGAATACGTGCGCACGGGCGCCCTTTTCTTCAGGGACCGAAATATCTCGCCAGAGAGGAAGCGGGAATGGCTGCAGAGGGTTTTGCCAAACCCGATTTCGCAAGCCGTGCAACAGAGCAGAATGTGGAGCGGGGAGAGTGGACATGAACAAGAGTCGGGAGTTATCGTTGTGGATAAGTGGATGCACTTTGTCGCATTGTTACTCGTATGCAGAATGAATGGGCCAGATAGGAATGGTAACGGTGCGGACATTGTAGGGACTTACGATATGGTCTACGGTTCGTTTTGCCCCGGTACATGTCTTCCCAGGCTCCTTTTTTCATTTGCTAACCACCGGAGCTACACAGGTGATAAGGAAACCTTTTGGCTTGGATGGGAGCTCGCTGGTGATAGTTTCTATGCCTTTCACCCGGGCCCGTCTGCAGCCATGGGCGTTGTCCAACCCCCAACCAACTTCAACGCCACTGATCAACGACCTACACCGACCTTCGTCAATGGAATTGCAGTAGCCCCACCACCGGTGAACCCACCAGCAGGACGCAAAATGGCGCCTGGCCATGAGTCCGACCTCACGATCTGTGCCCCCCAACTTCTTCATTTGGACCGCGAGAACCGCCCTCTGTGGTTTAATGGCTGGCTATTTGAGAATAAGTTTGCGGGCGGTAAACGGGTTATCGGGAAATTTGACATGTTTATGGAGGAGCCGAGTAGACCATTGGTTCCGGAAGCGTGGGAGCTCAAGGAGCACAACCTCTGTTGTTTGTCAAATTCCACGCCAAGGGACTTTACAAAACAGGAGATCGAATGGCTTGGAGAATTGATTGAGATGGCAAATACAGTCAATAACTAGTGGAAGAGTATCTTCATGGCTGCATTTACTGTCCGGCAAACACGAGGAAAGCTCTTCGAGATCTGGGGTGACAAGTGTCCGGCCAAGAAGGATGTGAACGACATTGAGCATCCCCTAAAAAGGACACCAACTCATCTTTCCTGATTCCTCCCACGCTCCCCACAACTATTCCTCGATGACTCTCCACCCAATCCTTTTTTCCACCTCCGCCGATGCACCCCCCCTCCCCCTGCACCTCTCCTAAACACAACACGGAGAAGAAAAAAGCGACGTACGCTGCGATCAAACAGGAGAGGTAACAGCGCAAGAAGGCGTATCGTGTCCGCATTGATGCCAATTTCGATGACCTATGAGCCCAGTACAATGCAGTAAGGATCAATATGGTACCATCAAGAGCGCTGAGCTGATATATTTGATAGGGCGACGCAAACCAAATTGCTAGTACGCAGGATGAAGTCCTTCGGATTGTAAGAGAAACCGCTGAGGTTAGCACCCTGAATGTGTGCCTTGGTCGAAAATCTGCCCAGTATAGCACTCTCTATGCTCTCAGGCACTGGAGGAGCGAAACTCCCACGAAGGGGTAGAGTACATATAAACACAGAAGATTAATATAGAGGATTCTATGAGTGTCGAAGATTTATATTTTGATATGGTTTTTTCAACCATGATCATCCTCCATAAGAGATATCTAAGATTAATCTTAGTACTAAATCAATTAAACTAGACCTTATTCCTTATCTTATTAATACTTTAAGGGGGCTAAGGAAGTAAAATTCTTATATATTGTGGGATGCAAACTAGGCAGGCTCTTGAGTAGCGGAAGGTACTGTGGAAACTTGTTCTCGTTCTCGTTCAATAATCAATGTCAGTAGACGAAACTTAGATCCTATAAGAATCAGGGCCCATTACACGGACTCCACATTCTATCAGTAACACATTGCTGCATTATCGTATCTTAGGCATCGGGCTATACCCAAGGCAGTTATATAATTTGCAGGACCATTATTAAGCGCCATGGCTGCAATCTAACACTTAGCTAGCCAAGGAAACCTACAGAGTACGATGGATCAAAAGTTGTTCACATGGATCACAAGCCAAACGCCAGAGACAACCTCTGGGAATTATCGATTTCGATGCAGATATGTAATTTTATGAGGGCGAAATGTTCAAAATCAAGGGCCGAAAAGAAATCGCTGCGCAAAGCTCTCATCCATGCATAAGTTCGCTTGTAAAAAGAAGAAAAATCAAGACATAGGTGAAAAACAAAATTAATAACACATGTTGGTCGAATACCGTATGTCCGTCCACACCTTAGGACCAAATATAGAAAGCGGAACGGTGTAACGGATAAATTGTTCAAAGAACTCCCGATAGAATGGCTTCGGTGGCTGCATATCTGTTAGCTGTGTCCATTAAAATATCGAATAAATGGTGACTTACCAGAATTGATGTATGGCCGCTTGGCGTCCAGGTTGACATCGAACCGCCTTTCAAGCTCCTGCTTGACGGTCTTCTTCGAGACCTTCATCAAGTCTGCAGTCGCCAAAATCTTGCGGATCTCTTCGAGAATCTCATCGTCAGAGGGTAGATGGCCGAGGTCTTCCATGCCAAAGTTGCTCATCATTTCAGACGGGGCGACCGAGTAGCGAGTGCCACCACCTCCAAGAGGTAAGTCGAGTTGTGAGACCGGGCGCGAGCCAGTATGGTACCCATACTCTGACTGCGGGAAGGGAGGAAGTCTGGTGCCGTAGGAGTGCGCGGAGAATTCAGATCGGTCGTCGCGCGAAGTCTGGGATTCCCACAGCTCTGCTTGGTAGTCTTCCCAAATTTTCTTGGGAATGGAGTCGGGGTCGAATTTGCCCTCGTCAGAAATGACAACCTTGCGACCTTTCTCTCCGGTGATAACACGCGTATTACCCCAGGAGAAGTCATCCATATGCCAGAAGGAGTAGAGTGGCAAAGCAAGGGAGAAAATGGGAATGGCCAGGAGGTAGATCAGCATCCAGCCAATCATTTCCCACTTGCGTCTGACGAGGAAGATCAAGGCCTGTAGACCGTAGATGACACCAAGAAGAATAAAAGAGGTGATGGGGAGCACATCTGGCTCACTCACACACCACCAGATAAGGTAAGCGATATAGGCAACTGTGACTGGCTGAATGACGGTCATGAGCAGGTCGATGAGCACAATAAAACGCATACTGAAACAGCAGAAACCACACAGCTGTTGCAGCGGAATCAACTCCATCAAGTTGTGAACTGTAGAATTGATCCATCGGCGACGCTGGGAAAGGAAGACAGTAAAGCTTTCCGGTGCAACTGTCCAGGCATGACATCTGAAGATGTACTTTGTCTTGAACTTCGGGTGATGCTTGATAAGCAGTGTCGTCAGGTAGCGATCTTCACCAAGGTGCAGCAGATTCTTCATGTGGAGGGTATCGACACGGATTTCGGAGTAGGCGTCAACCACAGCCTTACTGACAAAGAGAGGCGTTCCGTTCTCTGCTGTGCGGATACGATACATGGTGAAACAACCGGGCAAGCAGGTGACAGATCCAAACAAACTTTCAAAGGCCTTGGTCAAGTTGTGAGAGATGTAGTATTCATAAACTTGAATCATTGTCACAATGGAAGTCTTGGCGTTAGACAAAGACGTCTCTCCGCAGCAGCCGATGAGACGCGTATCAGAGAGGAATGCCGAAACAAAACGTGTGGCAGCATCGGGTGCTACCACGGTATCAGCGTCGACCTGTAGAATATACTCGTAGAATTGCGGGTTGACGCCAATAATGTTCCGGATGTGATGATGCATCTCAAGCTCCATAGGGCTCATGGGCAGGTTGTAATGAACACGGTTGAGGAAGCGCATAAGAACCATCTGGGAATCACGTTTTCCGCGGTTACCAGGGCGGGACACTTCAGAAGGTTTGCCAACTTTGACAACGACCAGGAAAGGAACGATGTGGCCCTGGACTTCGTATAGACCAGAATAAAGCTTTGCCATGTTATGCTGCTTCATACCCTCGCCCAGACTCTCAAAGCTGAGTGGTTCAGGATCCACAGATTCAGGGACACCCAAAATGTCAAGGACGATGCGGGGAGTCGGACGATCGTTGCCCTGACCTATAATCATACCATCACAGATGACGAGTAGTAGTTTGCGCTTGTCGTCATAGCGCATGCGAGCCATAGAGTCCATAGCACGACGCAATGACTCTTCGTCTTCGGTATACACCGGAACTTGGCAAATGATAAACTTATCCAAATTCTCCGGAAGGCTCTTTTTTCCAAATTGCAACGCAGCTAAAAACTTGAAGCCAATAATGGAGACAAGCATGATCGAAATTGCGAGAATGAAGTATCGCGCAAACTGACAGCGAACTGAGTCTCGAGTGTCGACCTTACCAATGAAGAACAGGTTGTCAAGGCAAAGCTGCATTCGGGACCTGAGTGCGTTGTCAAGATTTAAGTCCTCCCAATATTTGGTCACATCATCTCCGGGCTTTCCCTGGAAGATATCGACAAGCAGAGGGCTCATATAATCAGTCTCAACATTGCCGGTGGCGTTCTTCCCAGCTGGCCGGCGAGGTACTCGTGGTCCAGCAATGTAATAGGTCATATCATAGATTTTGCCGTGGATACTTGCAACTTTCCTGTTGTCCTCAGTCGCCAGCTTCTTCATTGCCTTTGAAGTATAACCAACGTAGCCCTTCTTGTAATTCGAGCGCATCATGACCATTTGCTCATAGAACCAATCAGCTCGGGAGTCGTTGGTCCAATAGCGGAAATCGTGGTACTTGGCATTGACATCAAAGGTGGAGCTGGAGGCTGTAGTCGCGGAATCATTCAGGTTTGATCGATAGTCTAATGGTACGCTGGGATCCACTCTTCCAGTCGTACCCTGACACAAAGCCGAGACTTGAACGGGGAAAAGATTGGTAGCATCAGTGCCCGCATAGGCCTTAAGTGACTTCTGGGGAACGATATCAGGGAAGTGGGATGGCATGAAATTTCCGAGGTTAAAGACCACGCCTCGAATGGCAACATAAGACTCTTCTGAACCTTTACCGTTCTTGCCGCTGAGCTCTGCCATGTTGTAGATATCCTGGGTTGGACAAACCACTCCAGGGAAACCGACAATCATGAAAACTGCTACAGCACAGGCGAACCAAATGATCATGTTGATGGCGAGCTTTTCACGCCACGCAATGCGCACGTCCTTGCGTTTCATTCGCCCAATAAACCGGATCACAAAATCTGGGATAAAGAATGTAAGGAGATAGACCAGGAACATCCAACGACGACGACCGGCAGATGTCGGAGCCTCATCGACCTCCTCCATCTTCTTTTCGTTGTTTTTCTCAAGCATTTGCTCTTTCGTGTCAAGATTTTTGAACATATCGCCAGAGTTGAAGGCGGAACCTCCAGCATCAGAGCGTCCATCCAGTTCACGGCTACCAAAGTAGCCTTGTTTAGGGTCATCTCCATAAATAAAAGCACCTGGAGACTGGTCGGTGGGGTTGAGAAGTCGTAGTTTGGCGTCCGGGTTTCCACCAGCGGACTGGAAGCCGTCGTTTTCATCAGCACCAGTATTTCCATAGGATGGCACCACCCGCTCGCCAACTTTAGCGATATCTGCCCAGCATCGTTCGCTCAAGAAAACACCGGTGCTACCGACACGGGCTTCATTACCAGGCCATCGCTTTTCGTCGAGAACAACCTCGGATTTCTCGCGGTCGCTTCCCACCACAACATTCCCGATGTCAGCCAGACCAAGGAACTCTCCGAACGGAAGGAAAACACTGTAATCGGCGTTCCGCAGCCGCGAGCTGATCTCGGCGATACCGAATGTTTGGACCTGCATCCGTACACACTTGCTGTCGAACTGGTTGGCAATGCGACGATCATTGGGCTTGAGACAGATGACGAAATAAGGATTGAGGTTCGAGGAACTCAAGGATTTGTTTACAATTTCCAGGCCAGAAAGGAACTGGCCGGCA